TGCATGAACCTCACCAACCGCGCGTCATTTCTCGGTATACTTCACCGTGAACCCGAAGCGCTCGTGGGGGGTGTTCCTCCTGCCAAATGCATCATGCTGTGGCCGTGAAATTTTGTTTTTGTCACAACTTCAGCCAATGATATCATTGTATTTTACAGATTAGCCAATCATATTCAAGTATAATGTCGGTAGTAACATGGAACAAATGCATTTTTCATATGTCGGTGGTAACATGGAACGGAGGAAGTACATTCTCATTAACCGGCAGGCGATTGCAAATCGGCCAGATTTACAGTTAGAGTTGAAGAACCAAAACTGTTTTTGACGAATTAGCCAATAGCAATGGATAATTTTGTCCAATAATCGGTGTCATGGTGTGGACGGAAAGCCAACAATCCTTCGAGCAAATGCACCCGTCAAACACGTTCCTGACTTCCTCCCACTTCACTACAGTACTTGTGTACTGTATTCGTCAAGTGCATCGACAACTAACTGTACAGTAGTTCGACAACGTGTCAATGTACTTGTCACCTGTCTGTGAGCCGTCCAGAAAGGTGATTTCCGAATTCCCGTGACTTGCAAATTCGGCCCAAATCATGCAACTGCCACCGCCGCTGTGCCGGGTGAAAAACTGGTCTTTTTCGTGGCGAAGGTCGTGCCAGTACTACTGGAAACCGTCTGGACAGTCGAGGTTAAACTTCTTTTCGTCCGACCACACCACGATGCCCCAGTCAGTTGGATTGGTGAGGTTGGCTTCAGCGTACTTGAGTCTTGCATCTTTGTGTCGTTGTTGAAGTTTCGGTGCATGCTGACGCTTGGTGAATTGTAGGAAATTGGCTTGGTTCAAGATGCTTTGGTACGTGCGGAGCGGCACTTCCAACTGCAGGTACGCTTTGAGCTGCCTGGCTGAGCATCCGGTCGTCGAGGCTTGCTTGACGACGGCGTGCCCGTTCAGTCACTTTTCTGGACTTTGGACTTACGTAGTGGGTCCCGTAGGTCGCGGGTAACCGTATAAAGCTTGCAACGACGTTTCTGGAGCGGCGAAGGGTCGCGGCGATGCGTTTGATCGACCATCCAGCCTTCGAAAACGCTAAGGTACCGCCTTGCTCGTACTCGGAGAGTTGGGCGGCTCTTCCCATGGCAGTTGTACTTCCAAAAAAGCCAGTCAAGGTAGGTTGAATGGTGCTTTGTTGACTTTTGCTCAGACTGGGTTTGAAACTCATGTGTCCTATCCGGTTGTTGCACCTCAAATTCAATTCTCGCGGCATAACTCGGCCAGTGTTGATTATTTTGACCTGAAACAAGCGCCAAACAACCGGACCAATCAAATGAATTCGTGTGGAATATTTTGTTTCTCTTAACGTGTATTTTATCTCATGTTGCCTCTTTGCAACCGGGGTGTCGTATCCACATGGCGCGCACTGTAAACTAACGCACGACCTTCGCTGAGCAGTGACATTACCGGTAGTTTTGACCGTTTTTCCCTGCATGAACACGTTACTTACATGTTAAAACACTCGTACTTCTTGAACACACCGACTATGATGAGCCCACAAATACTGTATAATGACCACGTCATTACAAAACGCTGGTGTACATTACTGTAGGTCCTCGTTGAGACCGAAATAGTCAGTCTTTACAAATCCAAGCATGTTCCCCTTGCTATCCAGGGGCAGGCCGGGATGGCGGCAGACAGCTGAATATACTGTATTGATTGACCTCATAGGACAGAATGTGGTCTGAGTGTCTGAGAAAGGCTAAAAATCTCCCGCGTCAGCAAACTTCGATTCTCGTAACAGTTATGCGGATTTTTACCGTTTTTCCATACCGTACCGGTATCAAAATGCAGGAATCTAAAACGGCACTTGACGTTAAGATTGTACGCCTCACCGGTGGGGATGCTCGAACAAGATGAATGGAGGTGTCACCTGTACTGTACGACATGCGCAGTGTACTCCACACCACTAAGCCAGCACCATTGCGACAGTCAAGTACTTCGGGAAAAGCAGATTTGCACGTGGTTTTTGGTATATATAGGGCATCCCCGATGGTGCGACGGTAAACGCTATTTTACACACCGAGCTTAGTGGCTGGCAATTGCTCCGTTGGTCCTTGGATACCAACGGTTCGACCAATTTTGGTGTTCCTACACATACATATATCGTTTGATATCGACACTGTCATGGAATAGTACAAGGCGGCAACTGTCCCTGCAAGGAAATCAAACCGATTTTGCTGCCACGGATCCCCTGGCATATGTTCCGTGAACTCCAACCCTATAGAAATACTGTACACATATAGAGCGACGCAATGAATGCACCCCAACAACGTACTCAAGACCTCTCTACTGACTCGGAAGGAGCCTTGGACAGGAAACGCACCTGCGCCGCAGTTGTCGTCTTTGGACTCCCCTGGCCCCAGTTGACATGCGACGTAGTTGCCTTCGGTCCACACTTGAACGACGTCAGCACATTCATTTGTGAAGCGAAACTCCACTACGATACGAACAAGGTGCAGACCACTAAATTCGTCAGGAATACCATCATGTTCGGTGGATGCTCCACCACGCACAAATGCTCCTCTTCGACCACCAACAATAACAAAACCAAGAAGCCCGCACTCGATCACCCTGTCTATTCCAACTAAAACAAGACCGGTCGAGCAAGTCTCAACGCCACTAAAAGCAGCAATGCCACAGCCGTGGCCACCAGCTTCCCCTCAATAGTCCATGGCTCGTTCTTGTGATAGCAGTGGGAACGGTGGGCTTGTCAGTTGTCATTGTGTTTGTGTGTGGAGTCTATTGTTACCGCCCGTCAACGGTTCCGCAATCTCGCAACCTGTAACCATGCCCATCATCCGGTTCCCAACCGGATGACTAGTCCACACCACTTCAGTCCAAGGTGTCCTTTCGTATACCAAGGTGTTCTCCCGACGATACATCAATGGTTGGTTGCGCGTAGCTTAGTGATAGCGTAGTAGTTATAACGCTATCAATTCATTCTTCATTCTCCTGCGCCTTCCTCTGCGCACGCTCACACTTGTTAGCACTCTACGTTCGTCCAGTTCACCAACACTATGTCCTCCACCAACACCGGAGCGCATCAGGCGGCCCTCGCGCTTTTGCGTCGTGGTTTTGGCGACAACGATACCGCGCTACTCCTTGGCGGGATGACTCCCGATAACCAAACACGCATTGTGGAAGGCATCGTTAACATGATCGAACTCTCGGTCGCCGAAGCTACGGCCGCCCAGAAGACATTGAAGGAACAAGTCACTCAAGTGTCTTCGCACGGAAGAAACCTTGAAGATTCTCTCCGCGTCGCTCGCGAGAAATTCGCGATCTTAGAAGAGCAAGCTTCCACCATGACGAGACATGGTCGCACCCTCCAAGATTCTCTGCGCATCGCCCACGATGAGATTACGCGCCTCACGCGCGCTTTAGAGTCGGATACCCCATCGACTTCTCGTCTGAAGTCGATCAAGCTGGATGTTGCCAAATTCGGCGGAGGGGAGTCCGACAAACTCCCCCGCTGGCTTTTACAAGTCAGCACTGCTGCTGACGCCCAGCGTATCCCCGACGACGCCACCACCGTGGCTTTCGCGATGTCGCACTTGAAGGGTCTTGCGGAAGGTTGGGCGTTCTCCAAACGCTTGACGGACCGCCATTGCTTCCCGTCCTTCTCGGTTTTTGTGACCGAACTGAAGGCAATGTTCCTGCCGCCCAACAGCGATTTTCGTTATCGCTCGCAGTATCTGGCATGCAAGCAAGGGAAACGTTCCCTCCAAGAGTTCATCCATGACCTTCGCTTCTTGGCAGCGAATATTAACGACGAAGAATCACTCTCGGAGGCCCTGCGTGTGACCGTTTTCATGGACGGTCTCAACCAAGGCCCAGCGCGCACCCAGCTTTTTCGCGCCTACCCGGACACCTTCGAAGAAGCCGACCGAATCGCGCATTCGGAATCATTTTCCTCCTCCTTCGCGCACGCACGCGCGGCATCCTCGGACATGGATGTCTCCATGCTCACCCAGGCATCGGACGACCGCAAGTGTTTCAATTGCGGTCGCCATGGACACTTTTCCCGCGCATGTCCGGCACCTCGCCGTGTGGCTCGCACTGTTCCTCCCGTGCCGCGCCAAATACCCACTCGCGTCATCCTCCAAGCAGCCCACCTAACCGCTTCAATCGCGAACGCTATGGCACCTCGCGCCCGCCTTTCCGCCCTCCAGGCTTGAGTGCGGCGGAAAACGGTCGCTCACAGTAGGCGCGAGGCGACCTACTGGGGACACCCTAGGTCCTTTGGAGGTGTGTGGCGCGTTGACACACTCTCAGGACCTAGCCTCGGACACATACCTTCTTCTGTGTCGTGTTGGGCTCCAACCCAACAACATCATTCGTTTGGAACTTGTCGTGCCTGGCTTTCCCAACTTTGAGGACATCTTCAACAAGATGCATGGATGCAAGATATTCTCGAAGTTTGATCTTGCATCGGGGTACCATCAAATGCTCGCAAGTACACGGCATTTCGAACGCACAAGGAACTCTTGCAATGGTGCGTTGCGCCGATGGGCATGGCGGGTATGCCGGGGATATGGTCGCGACTGATGCGATCATTGTTCGACAAGTTTCCATTCGCTGTTGTCTACCTGGATGGCATTTGTGTCTATTCGAATACCATAGACGAACACGTCGAACATGTGCAAGTTGTCCTGGAAGTCTTGTGCAAGGAAACGTTGTATGCGCGACTCGCAAGTGCGTGTTTGCAGTCGATAAAGTCAACTTCCTGGGGCACACCATCTCTGGTGATGGATTCCATGTCGATTCGAGCAAGGTTCGAGCGATAGAAGAGTGGGCAGCGCCTACTAATCGCAAGGAGCTCTTAAGTTTCCTTGGCATGGCGGGGTACTGCCGCAAGTTTATTGCGAACTATGCCAAGTTGATACTACCGATCAGCGAGCTCGCGAAGGACAAGGTTCCATGGGAATGGACAGACCGACACAACAAGGCGTTTTTGGTCGTCAAGGCTGCGTTGTAACAAGCTCCAGTGTTGCAGTTACCGGACTTTGACCAACCATTATGATCACAACGGACGCCTCGGGCTATTGTTGTGGAGCGGTGCTATCGCAACTGGATGCGAACGTAGAAGATCGACCGTTTTGCATTCTTGTCGAAGAAGCTAAGCTAAGTGAGACCGAGTGCAATTGGCCATCGCATGAGAAAGAATTGTATGCGATCAAGTTGGAACTAGCCTTATGGAGACACTACGTCTATGGGTCACACTTTGATGTCTTCACGGACAACGCGACTTGCCAGTGGTTTTTGAAGACTCGAGTTTTAACAGCTAAGTTAACACGCTTGTTGGATTTCTCTAGCAGTTTTGCCTTCACGTTGCACCATCGTCCTGGCAAAACAAACGTTGTTGCGGATGCATTGTCGCGTCCACGAAGGCGATGTTCCGCATCAACTCGTCACCAACCACGCGGAGAAGATTTCGTACTCATCGATCAAGATGGACGATAACTTGAAGCAACGCTTTGTGCGAAAATACGCCAAGACGAAGGAGTTCGAGAATAAGGATGGACTCTTCTTCGTGAAGTCGAAGGATCAAGTGTGGAAGTTGTGCGTCCCAAACGATGCCTATCTCAAGGGCGAGATTACTTCGCAGAGTCATGACACAAGTACCACGGCTCATCCCGGCCTACGGCGAACGCAATCGCACATTGCACAATGGTATTATTGGAGCGGTCTTGAAGAAGACGTGAAGCTCTATATCGCGGCGTATAAAACTTGTGCGCGATAAAAGTCAAGCAGCGCCAAAGCGAATGGACGAATGATACCGATCGAATCACCTGAGGAATGTTGACACACAGCTTCGATGGACTGGATCGCCTGCCTACCAGTCTCGAACGGAAAGGTTATGATCTTGAAGTGCGTTGACAAAACGTCAAAGCGTCCAGCATACTGTGCGACAGTGTCGAACGTCGATGCTCTCCAAGCAGCAAAGGAATTCTTCGATGCAGTTGTGCGATACCATGGATTGCCAGCGGTTATCATCAGTGACCAAGATACAAATTCAGTAGTGAATTTCAGCAAGCGTTGATGAAGATCATGGACGTCAAGCATTGTATGACGACGGCGGGTTGACCGCAAAATGATGGAGCCACCGAACGACAAAATCGGACCCTCGAAGATGCTTTCAGATGTCGAGTCTCATACTTGGGTCACGACAGGTCAGAACATCTTGGAACCATTGAATATGCACATCAAGGCCTATTTCAAGCGTCAATGGGGTTAACACCATTTGAAATGGATACGACAAGAAAATTTCGCATCCCAGCACTGAATGAGAACGAGGCACTAAACGACTATGCAAAGAACTCGTGCGCATGGCGCTTGACAACCTCCATAAAGAACAAGATCGACAGAAGAACTACTACAACAAGAAGCGATCGTTGGTAGAGTTCAAGCAAGGCGATTATGTGATGCTGGCGACGCGAAACTATCCGCTGAAGCATGCTCAAGTAACAAACAAGAATACAAAAGGCGAAGCTAGTGCCACGACTCATTAGTCCGTTCAAGATGCAAGAAGTTGTGAACGCCAATGCGATGCAGTTGAGCTGCCACGAAGCATGAGCAGGCTATATGATGTCTTCAATGTGGATCGCTTGAAGCATCATGTCCAAAACCCAGAACAATTTCAAGGAAGACCAATACCCAAGGCAAATCCTATCTTTCTCGACTACGCGGGAATTGAACTACACATCGTTGAAGCGCTGTTGAAGCAACGACAGTACAATCGGAAGAAAGCGTACTTGGTCAAGTAGCATGGTTGCCCGAAGACGAAGCAACTTGGGAGCTTGATCGCAGCATCAAGCATGATTCCCATTTCAAACGATTGCTTGAAGACCTGCGTTCAAGAATTCAACCTGCCAGTGGGAGAATGTAACGATGGCAAGGTTGCCGACCAAAGATTGTCTCACCATTAGCGGGCAAGGCCGTTGAAGAAGCCGTAGAGAAAAAACATTTACTTGATGTAGTTTAGTATAGTATACATTTTCGTAGATAGTAGTTTAAGACGACAATCTAATCAGTCTCTGTGAAGCTCGCTACCGTTATATGTACGTTATGTTCGTTTATATAGTATAGCCCAATAAATTACTCGTCAGAGAAAGCTCAGATAAGATTGCCAACCAACTCGGTGGCATCAAATACGCCTTCCATAGTACGGGTAGGTGCGGCGGTGATTGTCAAGAATTACGACTACAGCGTTAGAATTATGTGTCGCGCACTAGTAGAAATGTCACCTGGTAGAACTGTTGCTGACAGCATTCGAAACATTATTGATTGAAATTGCCATGTAGTAATTAATAATTATGTATACCGTGTATGCGCACATCTTGCGTAGATAATAAATGGAACAACGCGCGGACGAAAATCTAACTAGCATACTTGGTGGAGTGCATAGTGGTTTGAGTCGGTAGTTGCGGGACTGATTGAAAATTGCGGTAGCTATACATGGTGGACCTCAAAGGCGAGGTAGCTTGGCTACGAAAACTTCACGTCAAGTAGCGTCAACAACCGGTAAGGTTACCGCTAGGTAGAAGGTTCCACACGTGCACTGCATAGCTGATGTGAGTTTATTCGGGATGGGGCACTCATAAAGGGTCATTCCATTAGATAGGCTAATTACTCTGCACACTATGGGATAACACATTACACGCAAAATATTGCCCGTGTTTGGTCTTCACCATAGCAGCAAGCAACTAATAGCATATAACTACTAGTATTATCAGTGGTAGCTCGATGAATGTATTCCATTATTGACCCCGTCGTTGCAATGAATCCGCTCCTTTCAAACGAGTTTGGTTGACACTATTGTTGAGCCACCTTTTTGTATGCTGTGATTCTGCTTATTTCACGTATGGTGCACATCATCTACACCTTTTCCCGATCAAAGTGCCACTTTATTCCAATCAAAGTGGTTTGGATAAAAAATATAAATTTTAACAAGGTTTCCAAAGTGGATAATTTCGGATCAATGTGGTTTTTCTTCCAATCAAAGTGGTCAGATTAAGCGCGAGGAAAGGAGCGGGAAACCAAAGGACTTCAGTATTTGCTTCCACGTCATTCATCGTTTCGCCGCAGACCATGAGGGCTCGCAGTAAACCAAAGGGCCCGACAGAGGCCGAGAAGATGCGTGTCCTTGTTGCTTACAAGAATGGGGATGACTGGAAACTTGTCGCCAAACACAACGGTGTATCCGTGACAACCGCACGCCGCGTCGTCAACAATGGACATGTCAACCAGAAACCGCGAGGGGGCGCACGCATGGGACGATCCAAAGTGACGCCTGCGATCCGTGAGGCGTTGGAGCGCTATGTCGACCAGAACTGTTCGTACACCCTGACCGCCATGAAAGAATTCGTTGCCAACGACTTCCCCGGAACTGAACTCTCTTTGCAAACAATTCAGTCGGTATCTGATCGGCATGCTTTACACGATCAAAGCAGTGCGCATCGAGCCCGTAACATGCAACAGCGATGCGAACAAGACAAAACGAAAGGCCTTTGTGGAGGCGCTGTTGCAACATCAGCAAGAAGGTGACTACATTGTGTACTACGATGAAACCAATTTCAACATCTACTGCCATCGCACACTTGGACGTGCCAAAAAAGGCCAACGAGCGACGTTAGTGCTTCCGCCGTCGAAGGGACCAAACCTTCAAGTGCAGTGTGCTGTGTCGGCCGAACAAGGCCTTGTTTTGCCATCGGTTGGAGCGAGGAAGCATCAAGATGGCGCAAAATGCTGCATTCGTCGAAGAAATCTATCAGGCCGTGACGTCAAGTGCCACTTGGGATGCCAACTTTCAAGGCAAGAAGGTGGTAATTGTGCTCGACAACGCACCTGCACACTCACAAACCGAGCAGCGAGTTCAGCCGCACGAGGACGTGGTACTTCTGCGCCTTGGGCCGTACTCTCCAATGTTCAACCCTATTGAAAGTTGTTTTAGCGTTCTGAAGGCCCACATCAAGAGATTTCTTGCCTCGCGCACGAACCTGCTGTTTGAGCAGGGAGTTCAATTCCATCCTGGAAAGTCGAATGCGATTGCTCCAAGAAGCTGCCCGGGAAAGCCTACCATGTATTACCCAGTCGTTGGTTATTCGGGAGGCTATGTTTTGTCAGCGCAATGTCGAGAAGGCGCTTCGATTCGAGGATATGTCCTATGGAATGTGACTTTGCACCACATTGATTGGAATAAAACCACATTGTAATGGAAATGTGCAGTTTCTTTGTAACCATCCTTTGCGTTTCAAACGTTTTATATTTTTTATCGCCACATTGATTGGAATAAAGTAGCACTTTGATCGGGAAAAGGTGTATAAACTACCAATTTTTCACAGAATTTCTTTCATATTCATTACTCAAAAGTTCAGCAAATTGAGACGTAGAATCGACAGATCTCAATGTGGTGAAGAAATTCTACGTCTCAGATTCAAATTTGGTGATGAATTGGTCCAGAAATAGATATTTAACCTAGCGGTATTTTACATGGGCGCTTGGATATTAGCCTAATATCCACCCCTAATATTATTAGGGGTGGCCGCTGAGATGTATCTTGATTTTTGTATGAACCTCTTATCCGTATATAATATCCGGAGGCAGTTGGGACCCTTAACCTCCCACTGCAATGATAAAACGCATGAAATCAGTATTTAACGTATTGTTTTTTGGGTTTAACTACATTAATTGTACGTTAAATAATAAAACCTCCACTGTTCGATTTGGCCAGTTGAAGTTTTTAGATGACGTGCATCATACCTACAATGAGCACATAACACACACATAAACAACTACCACAACGAACCACCACTAGCATTAACGGCTTGGACGCTCACACTCACCCCTGCAAGTGATCAGCCTCCTCCAGCATGAACGGCGAATCGCCAGAGACCCTAGCATGTACTCATTCCTTGGACACAGCCAAGAGACAGCAACGTCCACGCCAGGCTGTGTGCACTACTGTATCACGCAGCAACACACCGAGCATGTCTTCGACGATGCTGCCTCGTTGGAAGTTGGTAAGCTTGGATGCCATGTTTGAGCAGCCTTTCCAAATCAGGGTATCTTAGGAATAAAATGATGAAGCTATATACTTGAGGTAGTATGATGACCACGATGTCAGCACAGCCTGACGGTAAAGCACGGTTTTTTCTTGCACGAGGTAGCGGGATAAAATCCAGCCGATGACTACATTTTTTACATTTTACTTCGAAGTATCATTTACGAGTTTGCAGTACAGCATTGAAGGTTGAGTTGTCCTACAATTCTACCAGTATCACCGCCAGCTTGATGAAGCTGGATTCAAATCGGAGGTACAAACTTTAATTCACACATGTAGTGGCGATAAATCGACGAACTCGTGGTGTATGCGGTCGTCATCGTGGATGCGTGGTCAACCTTCGTCCCAATCATCGTTTATCCCTATTGACTAAATACCCCAAAATTTTGAATTGCCCTATTTTATTGTATCCGTACTCATAGTGAATGTATCGGATATTGTGCCAAATCCGTGATTTGACACGATAAACTACGTGATTTTTGCATTATTCGTACACGTTAAACGACGGGGTTTCGTGCTGACGAGGTGCAAAAGTTATGGAATCGAAGTTTGCTGAAGTGGGAGATTCTTAGCTTTACTGTCAGACCACATTATTAATGTAACGGGGTCCGGATAACATCCGGACACGACATCCCATTGGTCAGTTCCAATCCTGACCCGAAAGGACACTTGGCAATCCAAGTGTCTTGAATCACTGGCTCTGCGACATCCGCAGCAGCACCATTCATTTGACATGAATGGCATGACTGGCGCGCAGCCGCGCGCCAAGGAAACCAGCTCAGAGATAGCTAGTTCTCTCAGTTAACAATATACCTTGTTCTACACACCTTCCTCTGTGCGCCCCATTACACCTGGTAGCACTCCAGTTCGTCCAT